AATGTATTTGGAGTGATTCCTGAAGATGTGCATCAAGGCGAAATGCTGACTCACGTGTATCCTTCAAAACATTTTTAGTGCAATGTTAGAGAACTATTGAGAAACATTGTTTACTACACACAGGAATTGTAAGAAATATAATTTCATTATCTCCTTTTTTAATTTAGCACTAACTAACTTTCCCACCATTATCGTCTTTTCACATTATGAATATATTATGTATCAATAGAAACGCGTTACAGTTATATAAAGTAGTTGATCGTCAATTTGTTGATTGTCATTTTGATGTCTTTGTGTCAGTGCTAAATACTAATGAATGATATCTTGAATATTTCCATAGTCAGGATCTCCTGTTCTTGCAGTTCATAATCTTATGTCTACAAGGAATAAATTCTCCTCTTTAGAACATTCAACAGTTCATTGGGTAATTTCACACAGGCTGAAATTAAGAAATATATAAATGAAGTTATTAAAAAATAAAGTGAGAACTATAATTATTAATGTGACATTCTTCCTCCTATTTTTCAACAATAGCAATTCTCCCACTGATAAGAAACAACAAAGAAAACTTAGAAAAACTTTTGAGAGTGGTGATGCAAATGAACCACGCCTGTGTGTATGTTAGCGAATTGTTCATCATGATAGTAGTTTATTTCCAGTTGAGTTGCAGTTTGCAAAATTTTCTGCTAAAAAATAGTTATTTTGCAAGAGATTATTTGAAGTTGTACTTGTTAGATATACAATTAATTTAAACAATCTGTGTTTTGGTTTCATGTAAGTTTATGAAATCAACGTGAAAATGAATTTGTACATTCAAATGGAGATGCTACGATAATTTAGAGTTCCTCATTAAAGTTAATTAAAATTGCAAATATTTGAATAACAGTAAAATATATTTTTACCGAGCTAATTGGTTCAGGGCTTAGCGCACTGACTTCGCATTCGGAAGGACCGAGTTCATTCCCAGGGTCGACTATTCTGACCAGAGTTTTCGTGGTTTCCCTCAGCCATCCAGGCGAATGTTGGGAAGGTTAGATTGAAAGGCCATGACCGCAAAATCGCCATCACTAGACGATTCGTTAAATAAGTGGTCACGAAGGTTAAGCGAATTTCAGGAATCGCGGATTCTTGACTAGAAACCCCGGGTTCTAACGGTCCCGAGACCCGACACCATTTACGGGGAACGTAATGGCAAAAAACGTAATTTTAAACCTATTTGAATACAATATATGAAAAATACGGTCAAACGTCTTAAAAGATATTTTTTAAAGAAATGATGAATTTTATACGCTGCATTACAAAACGCGATGAGAGTACACGCAATGTGTTGCTACGAGAAACAGCGAAACTAATAATAGCGACACATCAAAAGAACATCATCTAAGACTACTTTCGTCTCACTCGTGCGACATCTTTATTGCTGTCACATTCCGCGAAGCCGTTATCTTGACGAAGCGTTGACGACGCCTCCGTTTGCGCGCATCGCGTGTGTTTTGCGCCCCGGTCGCGCGTTACGTGAGCCCCCGCCGACGCCCTCCGGGAGATCTCGCGAGTGTACCGACCGGATTAAGCTCCAAGCCGAAGTTATGATTCGCAGATCCTGTTGCGAAGCGCCAACAACACGAGACCGACCTGCGTTGCGACAAGGCCTGCCCTTTCCATTTTGCCGTCATATTGGCATAGGGGTTTTTAACGAATGAGCGGCAGTTGGGTCGCGATGAAATGAAACAAACAGCCGATTCTCTTTGCTGTATGTTTATAATAAGTGGAAAACATATTTTTCACCTTTTACCCAACTATAAACAGCAATTAAAATAATACAGAATAACGCTTTTTGCACTGTAATTTGTTATTTTATTATTTTAAACTAAATGAAACATTTTTAGTATTTTCGTAAGTCGCTGCAGCGTCAACTTTCTAGTATCAAATTATATTAAAACATAAGCTACAAATAAGTGTTATTAACTGATACGTTTCTATTATACTTCTGTTCTTAAATTAAGTGCATCTTAATGTGAGTATTAGGTGAGATTTAAGACTGCTTGTTCAGTGTGGAGCACATTGTAACTAGTTGTCCTAAGCAGCGCGTACGGTCACGTCCTCAGCAACGGTTACGTAATTCTATTATATTGCAATGTCGGTCCAAATTAACAAATCTCAGCCATCAGTTTCTTGATGTCATAATAAATCGTAGAACAAGTTGTGAAAACTAAATATTTTCAAGCATATATCAACACAATTTTGACAATTAGAACAGCGTTTCATACAGCTACATCGTGTGTACACCCTGAGACGGAAATCTCAGAACATCTAACTGCTGTCAGGCGAGATGGAATACCATTGACGCATTCCAATAGAATTATTCTCTCAACGCTAGGAATGGAGCGCGGGAAATGACGATATGCAAAATTACCTAAACTACACATTTTTAAAAATTTACATAATATTTTTAAAGAGTGGATTATTTTCAATAGATTTCGCTTAACAATTAAAATCTACAATCAAAATTGTACTTATGCAAACTTTTGTATTGAATGAAATTATAGAAAAATACAGAGTTCGGCGAAAATGAGACCAGGCACAATTTCTTTGCTTTTCTAACTCCAATCGAGTAAAAAATAAAAATAAAAATTAAGAGCCGTTTTTGAAAATATAATTGTAAAAATTGTTTCAAATTTTGTCTATGATTCACTCAAAAACAAGCAAAATATTCATATTTTCCAAAGCTTGAATGTGACCTTATTTTAAGAATCGTTTATGATGATTAGATTTCATTAAGGAAAAAGTTTTGTTTTCATTAGTTGCAGGAAGATGCCGAAAAAACGTTGAAAGTTTAGAAAATTTTCAACTTTCAAGTACATCTACTGTGCTACACAATGGCAAAGATTTTGCTCGTGCTAGTTAGTTTTCTAATTTCTTTGGTCTTCGGCTAGCTGTTCAGTTCTGGCTCACCCAAGGCGCTTTCTATCGCCGACCACACTATATTTTTTAAAACTTATTCCGCAAGGTTTTATATTTGTTAACCCTATATTTATTCCTCAAGGTTTCGATAAGATAGTAGAACCGAAATATTACTTTAAGAATATTGTAGAAGAGAAAGACATGGTACTATAAGGTCATTTACGTTGGAAAATTTGGAGTATTTTTTTTTTAAATTTTGTATTTATATTTATTTTTGGGGGAAAATATCGTATAATCGTCACTTTAAATTGAGAATTTGAAGCTCTTCTTAACAAAAAATTATAAACCTTCACACAGCTCAGATTTCAGAAGTAACTTTTATTCACAGTAGAGGTCTGTTTTGACAACAACATAAACAAACAAAAATACAATTGAGTTTTTCGAGAGTCGCATCGAATCATCCGACGACTCCGAACATTACAGCGACATCTTTGGATCCTGTAGCTTTTCTAAAGCCCATTGTATCCCTTGATACCATGTTGTGCTTGCCTAGTTGTAGGTGTGTACGGTTAGTTTCTCAATTACAGACTTGCTATATTGAATTACTGCGTACACAGTTGTCTGTCAGTCCAAGATATTATGGAATAATTATGGGGTAGGTGCAACACATGTGAGTTGCAGTATCACCCACGTCACGATCACTAATTAATTTTACATTAATGTTTAACGCCGGTTTTTAACCCACCGTCTGAAGTGTTCACGTACATAGACCTGCCACCACTTGAACTTCACAAGATGGAAGCCCTCAACATTACTATTTCTTAACATATTACGATTATATATCAAAATAGTAATAAAACGAATGATAGAATAAAAACTTATCTTTACATTTAATGCTACAATCTGCTTTTAAAATTCTTTGTAGCTGGGTTTGAAACTATCGTAATTACTTAGACATAATTTATTTCCGTTACCATTTTTTAATGTCTTTAATAATGCAGTTCCTCTAAATGATTCGAAAAATGTTCAAACATTGACAATTTTCTAATTTTCAGAGATTACAGTGAAAAGCAAACATATGCCACCTTTATCAGTGCATTTCACTCTATTGTTACAAAAAATACAAAGAAAATAGAGCAATTTTGGGGATATTTTGAAAATATTTCTGGAACTTTATGTAAAATGCCTCCAAAATTTCAAGATTTTTTAAAATCAGAGGGCTTTTGATCAGGTAAAATCGATTGAGGTGTATTAATTTTGGCAAAATTCCTACGAAACGTTTAGGTACTAGTTTATTCACAGTCGAGCAGACGGAGGAAATTTTGAAAAAAACATTTTTGGTATCAGAGGAACCCAAAATATGCATTTCGTCAAAGTCTCGAAAAGTATGTACCGCAACATTACACGACTTGCTCTGTACTATGTATATTGCCTTTTGTATACGTACGTATACAAGAAAGTAAAATTAGTGGTGTTACAACACCACACATTTCATCAGATTATTTTCAACTTTGTTCTGATTTTGAGACACAGATTCCTTTAAGAAAAAAAATTATTTATAATAGTATTTTTTTAATGACAAAAATTAAACTTTTGCTACTTTTGAAATCTCAGGGCATTCAATAAAAATAGTGCCTTCGCCGTTTATATAATTAAATTTTGCTGAATATAAGAAAAAATATACAATTTGAAGCCATTTTTGAGATGAGTTCTAAAATGTCCTTGAGGTTACTTTACATTAATAAAGTATCCACAAAAATCAAAATAACCATTTCAAATGCGATAGGTCACGACATCAGTAAGACTGTTAGGGAAATATAAATTTTACTGAAAATCTTGCATATTTTAGCTTCTAACATTATTCACATGCAGCAGTCAGACACAAAGATAGACGGACAGACAAATAAACGATCCGTAGAACAAACACAACAGACGGGGAGACAGAGACAGCCAGACGGAGAGTCAGACGAGCAAACAATTGGAGAGACAGACAAACGAACAAACCGAATAGGTACATTCTAGAGAGGTGACTCGCATATTTACACTTTTATAGTTATTCACGCAGAGGTGATATTTTTATACTTTTTTCTTAACTCCAGTTTCAAAAACCTTTTTGACTTGCTGCCATTGAAACATAGTATGCCAAATGATTACGATATTCGCCAAACCAAGCTCGCGTCGTCGTCCTTTATTAGGATCTGGGTTAGTGTAATGAGCGCCTCCTACGGATGTTCTGAGAAAGCACCTGTTGACTCCTCGTGCGTTGCGAGAACGTAAATCAACTGAGGCTGGCGGTTTCTTGCAAGGCATCCTGAACACCTGGAAGGGCGAGAAGGAATCTGTTTTCTATGAGCAGAATCTGCGTGTCATTTACGTGTTGTGTTTGAGCGCATCCGGTACGTCAAGTGGGGCTCAGTGAGTGACGGGAGATGAAGTCAACGGAGCAGCTTGTGACACGTGTTAATGTTTTCGGCAGAGATAAAGGGGATCGGTCTGTTAGTGAGATTTGTGGTGATATGATGATTCAATTTGATGACATGTTTTATTCGGTTAAAAGAAAAATCAATTACTTTATGACATTTTATTTATTTTTAAGTGTTATCCGCAAGTAATGGTATAACCACCGCGAAAGCAAAATGCTGTAGACTCTGAATAGGTGAAAATTCAATTGAATTATTTCCTTTGAATTTTGTTTCACGTAAAGTGACTCAGTTTCGACGATTATTTTACATTTCACCCTATCCTCCAAATGCAGCGTAAATGTACTTAATAAATATGTATTTAGTAAGTATGTACTTAGTGAATACGATAATACAAGCTTCAGAAAAATAATTTTGACTTCGCAGTTTACCGAATGAAATTTCTATCTAGCAAAGATATCAGGCGTAAGGTATTTAATTGCCCATTACCGCGTAGGAATTGTAAAATATTCCTGAAAATGAGACTGTTTGTCAAGGATTCAAATTAGTAAAAATATCAAGCTTCGGAATGTATTGCACATTGCTTCATACCAGAACAATGTACTGCCAGATCTGAATTGCTGAATATATATGTTAATATTTTGCTGGAAATGAGAAAAGACATGAATGATTATTATTAACAATTGTTTTTAGTTTTAAAGCTTTAATAATTTCTCATGTACAAGCTGAGAAGTGAGATTGCAGCCCCACATGTCAGGACGTAATTTTTAGGCTCTGGATAAAAACAATATTTGATGGACCTGATACTATGTAGAAGGTTGCATTGATTGTCAAAGATGGTTACTTACTATCTAAAAGAAATAGTTTGTGCTACATTTAACAATACAGGTGTGATTCAGAGGTATTTTCACATCTCCAAGCATCTCAAAGATTATTCTTCTTTCTGTCTCCTCTGGCGGTAACATCCCTTTAAAGGTGTGATATTTTGTGGACTTGTAGTCGGACCTTCTTATATCGAATCTGATGGTTCCATTGATATTATTCGATGAATATAGAAACTACGATATGAAGGAAGTTTCCAATATCTGACTGTTTCAAGATTTTGAATTTTCTTCGCAGTTTTTCATTATAGTCAAAACAGTACTAGGTATATGGTAATCCATATTTCTGTGGCACCATTTCTTTGCACACCACAGTCCATATCTTTGATTACATTCACTTATAAGGATTAAGGGATTTTCTTTTCCCATATCTATAGATTTTGACAAAATCGGAAGTGATTATAGAACAATAAATAACGTTAAGAGTGACGCAAAAAGATGCAGAGTAAATGAGAAACCTTCCATCAAACTCATTTTGATTTTACAAACGTCACATGGGTAGCAAAGCAAGGATAGACGAGGTTGCTAAGTCTGAAGAGCTGAAGCTGCTTCATGTCTGGAGGTGGCGGGTTTGAATCCCGCCCGACAAATAGACGTTTGTGTGTCCGCATAATTACCGTTACTCAGAATGTTATGGTGGTCACTACATGACCTTCGTTGTTGAAAAGCGATCTTAAATAAGAAACAGACAACAACTTCACGAACACTCAATGAAATTTCTTCCAATATTCTTATATCTGAATCCTTTTGGTTCCTACGAATAAAACACTTGTTCAATGAATGTATTATTCGGTTTGAGTTAAAACATCTAACATGCATTCAACTTACAAAGCAAAAACAGACATATTGTGTACTATAGGACCTAAACAAATGTGGGTATTGGAAGCTGAATATCTTCTATTGAGAAACTTAATATGTGTGTTCTTCTGTGGTCAAAAGGTAGTAGAAGAGTTACTATGAAACCCTAAAGATATTGCTGGCGTGAAGTTTGAAGCTCACATGGTGTAATGGGGAACACAGCTTTCCTACATTCAAATTTATTTTAACGCATCAGAACAAAGTTGACTTCTGAAATTCTAATAAGAAATCGTCGTGATTCGTTGACGTCGGTGTTAAAATTAAAATTTGCGTATCCAAAAAGCAAGTATTGTTAAGTATTAATCCACATCCGTTACTGCCATTATGGAATCGAAAGAACGTTACTGAAAAGAGAAGGAATATAACAATCTTCACAGCGGACGATTTCATTAAAAATGTGTTGAAAAGAATATTATGTCAATAACTGTGTTTCCAGATAATGTGTAACTCCGCATTTAAAGAATATCAAAGACAAATATTTTACATGGAACGCCCATGTAGTAATTACTATTGTAAAACATTCTTTATGTTCATATGTTCCCGAGATAAGTTTCATGGGAAGATAAAACTTGAGAGTGATGTATCTTATGAGACACTCTTCACTGAGAAAAGTCGCAAATAATTTTAAAGTTCTTGTATGTGTAACATGTTTGAAAATGGTGTGGTATATTTTTATGAAAGAATTACAGAATTTATTTCAAAGCCGTGATATAACACAAACAAGTAGTTGTAAATAATATACAAAAATAAAAGCTTGTAAGGAATCGCTTTTATTTTCTCAAAAATATTTATTGAATATTACTTGACCTTCCCATTGATGAATAACGTCTGAGAACCTTTCCAATTACTAATAAAATATTTTATCCTTGCTCAAAAAATGCTTTCCGGTTGGAAAAATCTATTCACTTACGCCATTAAATACTTTAAGGGGCAACTAAGAATAAAGACAAGAAAATTAAGAGCATTGAAACGAATATTAAAATAAATTTCAAGAAGTTAAAATGCGGTGAGAAAAAAATTGGGCTTCAAGGTGACAAGAGATGCAGAGTATAGAAACTATTTCTCTCTCGAGTATTCTATTATTAATATGTAAAGGAACACGAAGAGGTTTAAATTATTTATCCAAATGTTTCATCTACTCTCAATCTGAACACATTGTTCTAAACACATTGTTCTGAACACATTGTTGTCAACAAGACGTGAATAAATTGACTCATTGTGATAAATTGTATTAGCCGTGAATTAAAATTCCAACGTATGAATGAAACGTTTCACTAGTGAGTAAACCCGCTGTTACATTAACAGAAACAAAATAAATTATGCATTGCACAACAGTAATGATTATTTTTTAACTTTGTTATTAACTTTATTAACATCAATTTCAGTGTATAAAGTTGAATCCAGAGTTTTAACTAAAGAGACAGATCTGGAACCCATTGAAATGTATGCCTATTGCAACCATGTGGGGAAACAAATGGACTTTGGAAAATAACTTGAAGTTGAACCATTGCTGAAAAACAATGTTAAACGGTAGTAAATTGAGCATCTGATCAGGTTCTGTAAAACTTAATTATCGGAAGAAGAGGAAGAACATGAAAGTAAATAATATATCCAGATAGAGCGGTTCCAGAGCGCCTGTATTCTCTGGATTCTATTTCTGAAGGGGACAAGAAAAATGTGCAGAATGTTGCAGAATCTATAGCTGGGCCGAGAGAAAAGTTCTGAGAGTGTACTCGTAGAGGGTGTTGAGTCATGGCATTCATGCTTAAGAACGTGACACATGCATAGCCAATTAGTGTTTTGGCTCTTTCTGACTGTGCGAGGAAAGTAATAAACTAATTTCAAATCATGACTATTTTCTGAAAGTGCATTGACGATCCTATCTGCTCGGTAAAGAAATAACTCAGTCGCAGATCCACGGGGAAGAAAAAGTAGGAAATTCCCCTCTAAATTTTATTTGTAACTATTAATTTTAACCTGTCACGAAACTTTCAAGCAAAAATATTTTAATCATTAAAATATTCATTATAATTATTAAAACGAATAAAACCATATCGCAGCATGAGTTGCATGGGGCCTGCGACATATTACAAAATCAATCATGGCATATTCGACCAAAACATTTTTAATTTCCCCTCCCAAAATTTGTGACTGGATTCGCCCCCGAATAAATGAACCGACAGTCCTGAGTTTAACAGGGAAAAACTGTTCAATATTTTTTCGAATACACCATGAGCCTCTTATGCCCTCTCGATGGGCAGCGAAGTGAAGGCGGATGCTGCGACGCACCTGGGAAGATTCTGAGCAATCGGGGCGCGTTCCTGTGTCATCGGTCCCGCCCCCATTCCGCCCCCGCCCGCGTAGATAAGGCTCCGACCGTGAGTCAAGCCGCCGCTCGGGGCTGTGTATTTAAGCGTCGGGCGCCGTGGAGGCAGTCACACCGAGCAGTGAGCGTTCCACGGCGAGTGTCTTGCCAAAGCAGCCAGCGACAGCAGCAGCAATGGCCAGTTAGAGCGGCCCTACTAGCGGCCCGCCATTGTGGCGATATGCGCCAGGTAATTATGCATACCGCCAGCAGATTCTCATTCGAAAGTCTACGCTAGATCAGTATTTACTTGGCGGTCTAGGTCACGTCGCGTCCTAGGCACGGATGTCAACATTTCGGCCGCTGACTGCGACCTTCTAGGAGAGCAGTTTTTGAAGGCTTCAGAAACATCCCGTCAGTTTTCGAACAGAGGAGGTCCGTAGCATGACAGCAGAAACAGCTTCTTGTGTGTGCCAGGACGTGGCACCTACCGAATAGTCAAGTAGATAGTATTTGTATTACCCTTTCTCTTGATAACTGAAACATTATTAAGCTCCCGTGCGTGCAAACGCGGGTTTTACGAATTACAAAATAGCTTTTTTTGCGGACATCTTACTCAAAAGTAAGTAGACCATACGGTTCAAAAATAAAGAAAAAATCGGGGCATTAATCAACATGACTGCCGCCTCATGTATGTGAATGATTTCTGACTATAAACACATAACTCTAGATGGATACGTGCTCAAATTAATTAACACAAGTCGTACAAACGTCTTTAGCATACTTCAAAATGCCGGTCTCTGTTCTTGTCGATGCCTCGTCCGTCACATTAGTAAGCTCAACCTTTTCCTTAAATATTTAATAACGTTAAATATTTACATGCCCGCATGTGGAATGCCACAATAGAGAAGGACATAATAGTCAATTACGTTATTTGGGAAATTATAGACGAAAATAATATTTTTAAAACAACTACTTATTGAATACTTTTTGATGATGTTTAAAAAGCCCTTGCGAGTGTTAGATTTTAGGCATGTGAAAGTTTTGTTTCTGCAGAAAAGTTTGGAAACACTAAAAGCCAGTGAGTTTTAACTTGTCACGGATTAATCAGGTTATAAGGGTGGAAAAATGGGGCGTTAGAAATAAAATTTCCAAATTAATTAGTAGTACATATTATTTCTTTGGTACAGTTAAATCTTTTCACCAATTATTTTTTTTCAGATTTATATTCTCACATGAAACATATTCAATAAAGGATAGTAGGTAATAATTGCATTGTAAAAAACTTATGTTATTACGATATCATGATTACGCAGTACATTAAAATTAAGAAATATTATATAAGAAATAACGTAAATTTTCCTAAATTAATTAGGTAGTACATAAATGTGATCATTTTTCGAATATTTCGCTTTAGATTCACTGTTGCTATATTGCAATGTAGAAAGAAAAGGTGCGGAAATGAATGTCATAACAATAGTATCAGTAATAGTAATATTGATAACAATAATAAACATTAAGTATAAAATAAATAATTAATAATAAATATTAGTATAAAACGATTATAGTAGATATATACGCGCTAACTTAAACCTTTAAAATAATATGTCACCAGTCAGTTAAGTTTTTATTGTTATTTAAAAAAATTATCTTAAATCGGTACTAGAAGTGAATTAGAGAGTCGTAGCATTCGTTTCGAGAAAAAAGCCAAAGTGGGGGCCGACCCACGTGGCAGTGCAGTAACTGGAGCTGTGGTTCAGGTGCTCCTTCGCTGATGCGTCCCCTTTGGTGCGCCGCGCGGCGCGACAACCTGTGGACCCCGCGGCCGCCGCCCCCACCGCGGCGCCCTTCAACTGGCAGCAGTCGTGCCGAGCTTCGTCAGCTAGCACTAGCGACGCCGGCCGCCGCCGCCCGCCGCCGCCGCCCCCGTTGACCCCGCTGCGCCAGCCGCGCCCTTCAACTGGCAGCAGTTTCGTGCCGAGCTTCGTCACTAGCACCGCCGCCCCGCCGTCGCCGCTGCTGCCACCGCCCCCGGCGCCGCCCCGCCGTCGCCCCCGCAGCGGCTCTGCCGCCCCTGCAGCTCCCTCAACTGGCACAAATTCGTCCCGCAGTTTGTCCTGAATCTGCCCAGCACCACCGAGCACCAGTCGCACCCACCGACGCCGCTGTTCCAGCTGCCGCCGCCGCCGCCGCGCCCGCTGAATCCGCAGCTCCTCGCACCACCGCAAGCGCGGATGTCGCCCGCCCGCCGCAGCCACCCCCACCACCACGGCCAAGCCCTGGGTGGGCAACCCGTGGGCGGCGGGCAGCTACGGCGGACCGTTCGGCAGGCCTTGGACGGGCGCTGCCCCAGCAGGCAACCCCTGGGCCGGCGGCCCCGTCGCAAGCAACCCCTGGGCCGGTGGCCCCCCCGCGGGCAGGCCCTGGGGGGCGGGTCCCGTCGGAGGCAAACCCTGGGGAGCGGGCGGCCCAGCGGCGGCCAAGCCCTGGGGGGCGGGCCCCCCGCCCTTCGTCGCCGCCAGCAAGCCCTTCGGGCCCCCGGCGTCGCTGGTGACCGGCCCTCCGCCCTACGTTCCGCGCCCCGGGTACGGCCCCCCGGCGGTGAATCCCTTCGTGCCCGCCTACGGCCCGGCCTACGGAGCGCCCTACGGCGGAGCCTATGGCCCTGCGTACGGCCCCTGGGCAGCGCCCTGGGCCACGTACTCACCGTGGGCGGCCCGCCCTACGGCCCAGCCCCAACCTGCCGCCGCCCCTGCCGCCTAAGGGCCGGTGGCTTCCTGATGAGCTTCTCTTGGATACGCTTAGCATAAGCATTGCTTCTCAAATGTTTGCCAACCTAGGAACAAGTAATTACTATCTCATCCAATAAGAATCATTCACACTCTGTCCTAGATTATTTCTGGTCTAGAAACCATAAAATTGTCCAATGTGATACTTTTACCATCATACTGAAATGACTCAGAGATTCTTTCACCAAAAGGCTGCTAGTTTGAGAAGTATATGTTAACTTGAACCTCGCTCTTTCTAAATGCATAGCATTTGAACTTCAAGAGTGCCAGTTGTGTAAATTATTGTAATTATTGTGTGTATTAATTAATTATTTTGGCGCTTAAGCGAATCGTGTACAAAAAAATACGGAATAAAGTGTTGGTGATGAAATTGATTTGTATATTAATGTTTCCTTGATGTTATTGCCAGAGGCGTTTGCCGTCTGAGAGATTTCTGTCAGATAAACATTTATGCTGACCTCCATTGAAATAAAACCAGCAAGGTATATTCGTTTTAACTCAAGATACATTTGAAATTGAACTTCTTTCCTCGTTATTTTATTTCAATTTTTGTTTCGAAGACACGAGTTTTCAGTATTTTTCGTTCCTTGAAGGTAATAATAAAAACCGATAAATTAACTCAATATGATAAATATATTTTTAATATTATAGTCGGACCAGTGCACTTTGAGTTTGTGCCGGTTGTTCTGGTCTAGACTGTACTTGGGAAGTAAAGAATACTACGCCACATTACCTAATACTGGAGAAGAGTAGTTCAAAGATAGAATGAAAATTGATAGTGTTCGCCAACTAGTAAAGTTACTACTGAAGTTTGAGCATATTTCACTATAAAATCCATTGAAATTGAAAAACATGTGTAAAATGTCCCGTTTTAGCGAAGTATGTCAAGTCTTTTTCTACCTAATATTCTGAATTAAAGCCTATGTTCCTACCTATAAATTTAGCATTAAGAATAAAAAATGTACCAAATAATTTACACTCTGAACAAATATTTTAAAATTAACTTGCACAATGACAACATCTACTCCCCTGTTCAGATAATTTGCATTTTATTGTACTTCTTTGAAGACGTGATTATATATAAATATTTTTTTTTAAAATATTGCAATTCAAATTGTAATAAAACGAAATTCTTAGTATTTTTAGGACTGCTTATGCAATTAAAAGGACAAAACATATATTTGCTAATCTACTCCAATCTTCGTCAATTCGCGAGGTAATATTTACAGCTCCCAGAAACTCGAACGCCTGTTCGCTGTGTAGTGCCGAAAATGTTGCTCTGTCAATTTAAAGAGTTCGTGGGAACAAACCGTGGCGTTTGTCAATTCGTCACCCGTCGCCATGACGTGTGTAGCCCGCGATATCGTCCTGCGACTGGACAGCGAAAGAGAAAAAACAACCTGCTCGTAAATGTAGGATGTTTCAGAAGAGATAGTCTACTCTAAAACGTATCGTAAAACTAAACAAAAATATATCTAGAAAACATGGAAGTTTATGCCTCGGAAATATATAAGAAGATTTAGAAAATGTTTGTTCCGTACAGTTGAATTAAGATATTAAGGACACTTTTTAACACCATACTAATAACACCAGACTATTCGGTCAAAGCAATGGTAAATTTAGAAAATATAACAAAAATGGGATCTGTGCAATTTGTATGAGCGTACTTTACTCTTTCCAATAAAAATATTAATCCAAAAATTTGGAGCAATTCTAGTTCCAAAAACGTTCCTAAGGCTTCGTGTAAAGCACCCAAATTAAAATATATATTTCAGATTCAAAGAAACGTAACATGAACCATATCGGTCGGGGAATATAAGTTTGGGTTAAAATGCTTTTTACTACTTTTTATTGTTAGCCGCTACTATCCTTCATACACAGACGGAACGAAGGCCCAGACGACGGCCGACGGACGGCCAGACGGACGGCCAAGACGGGACGGCCAGACGGACGCCAGACGACGGCCAGACGCGACGGCCAAGGACGGACGCCAGACGGACGACCAGGACGGTACGCCAGACGACGGCCAGACGAACGGCCAGACGGACCGCCAGACGGACGACCAGACGGACGGCCAGACGGGACGGCCAGACGACGGCCCAGTACGACGGCCAGACGGACGAGCCAGCGACGGACGGCCAGACGGACGCGCCAGACGGACGGCCAGACGGCGATTTAAAAACTGTCGGAAGACGAACAGCCGTTTCACTGTAAACCATTATTTTGGTATCAAAAATTCCTGAAACGTGGATTCTGACTCAAGAACCTGTTAGAGGAAGTCATTTCCTACATATTGGAACAAGAATTATCGACGTTTCTTGTTTTGAGGCTTACAATATTAATTTTTCTGTCAAAAAATCGCGGTTTTTAGCCACAGCATTTCATAAACTTCTTCTATACTACGCACGTAGCATGCGAGAAATTAAAAATACCAGCGAAAACCTTCTCTTCCGAAACTGCCTGCGGGCGTTCGGGAGATACGAACGCGTTCACGAGAGCGAGGGCCTATCAGGGAGCTCGAGGTCCACGGGCGGCGGATGGAGTGAGGTGGAGAGGGGGGGGGGAATCCTCAATGGTAGCGCTGCAGCGCCACTTTGGCGCCACGAGATAACTCCGCCGCTTCCCGGCCTTCCCCCGCCCCACGCGGGCGATAGCCCTGTCAGCCGCTGCCACTGGGGACCCGCTGCTGGAGTGAGGAACCTGTTTCTCTGGGACATACGATACTATTAATCTCTCTTTATTTTTTTTTTTTATTCAATTATTTGGAGGGCGTGTGTTGCTCTGGGAGGTTAGTGGCCGTTTGGGAATGTTTGCCTTGCCCTGTGGTTCCTATTTATATATTTTTGAACCTTTTTATCATTTTGTTGGTTTTTTATGCTGAGTTTATTCCTTGTAGTATGTTTACATTATACTATCTAAAACTAATATTTCAATATTTTTAAAACTATTTTTATTTTAAGTTGCATAAACTACAAAGGGAGATGAGAGGGAGATGTGTCTAATGCACATTATTTATTCATACCACTCAACTATTTTATAAATTTTTTCATGATTAAGCAATTTTTCATATGTTAGAAGATGACACCCTGTTAAGTATCTATACACAACAGAAATTTAGACATAAAAAATGAAAATCTTTCATAATAAGATTAAAACAATCAAACTATCAACCAATAAAACTGAGGTTATTGCATTTCAAATGGTGTGAAATATGAATTTGCCAATAAAATAGTCAGCTTTTATCGCCAACATTGATATGATATCAATTTTCAGATAGACGCTTATATAATATAAACGTTTCATCCATGCTTTTTGGAAGAGATTTTGAAGGAAGTGGAGCGATTGTAATTCTGGTATGAAGTACCCGTTTTAAATAACGGGAAACTGAGTACATTGACTGACGTAAAAATATAATTGCGGACAACCAATATTTTAAAAGATATCGAGGCATCAGTGTGAACGTATTTAAATGAAGTAATTTGATTTTATTTGCATTTGAACACATTTTCTGAGATATGTGAAGAAAATAAATTATCTGGAAAGATAATAAATCACGAAATCTATTTTTAAAATACAATGAAAAGCGAACAAAGAAAATGAAAGAGGTATAACTGCAAGTCTTTAACCTTTGAATACTATAAAGTTGATGTATTTTATTGAATTATTTATAGTTCAAAGGAAACAGTTTAAAAATGAGAAAACTCAGATGTCTCTGTTAATCATAAAATTTAATTTTTAAATAAAATTTATATACGTTTAAAATATACTAAATGCCTTCAAGGATATGCTAAATGTCTATGTTTTTGTTATATTAACTACATAGTTACCCTCTTACGTGGGTATTTAACCACTATTATTTGTGAAGTAGGCCCGCTCGTCTCACTTGTTCATTTGTTTCAGCCCTTCCCCACTTTGCCCGACAATGCCGCCTCCTCAATGCTGGTTCAACCCTTTCCAGAAACACACATTTTCGGTTTTGAGATCGCAAACCACCCTGTGTTATCCAGATCTGCACGAAGTGTTTGTAAAACATTTCCGTACACACACATATACAGCTCTTTTTATATAAGTGTTGAGACGTCTAATTTATGTATTCAGGGTCGATGAAATTGTGATATAGACATCTCAAAATGAGTATTTATTCAAATATAAATAATAAGTGTAGGAAATAAATAATGTATAAATATGAATGACAGCACCTCTTTTAGCACACATTATCTGGCCCAAATAATGAATGGTAGCTGCATCACGATGCAATGTTTCATTAGGTAACACAGATAGGCATGTCGACTAGGGTGTTGATTTAGGTCTCTATTTATTTGTACATTTATT